ATTTATTTTTAGACAGGAGGAAGAGGCAGGTAGAGAGAGAAAAACATCAATTTGTTGTTCCACCCATTTATGCATTCACTGGTTGATTCTTGCATGTGCCCCACAGGGGATCTAACCAGCAACCCTGACGCATCAGGATGATGCTCCAACCAGCGGGCTACCGGGCCAGGGCAGGAATACTCTATTCTTTAGTGGTTATGTATTTTTAGTGTCACAAAAGTCTTATGTTAATCAATATTTTTAATTTCCTCCTGAATATAAAAACATGAAAACCACAACTTACCTATTGTTTTCCAGTATTTTAATTCCCTTCTCACAAATTACATACTGTCTTTCACGGTTAATACTTACTTTCACCAACATCATTTACCAGTATCTTTGTTCAGCACTCCTTCTTGCATCTGACTTTCCGTTTGAGATGATTTTCCTCTGCCTCAAGAACATCCTGTAGAATTATCCTTTGTGAGTGGTAAACTTTGCTTGACTGAAAATGTTTTGTTAGCTCTCTTCCTTCAAAAAGTTTCACTAAGTGTCAATTCCCATAACAGTTCTTTTATTCATAACAGGATAAAAGGTAAGCATTCCACTGCTCTCTGTCTCTCATCGTTGATGCTGAGAAGTCACCCGTCTGGACTGTTCTCCACAGGTAGGTTGTTTTTTCTCTCTAGCTGCATTTCACCTTGATGTTTCCAGTATGAGTCATTTTTTTATCCTGCTTGGAATACATTGGGATTTCTAAATCTGAGGTTATGCTGCCTTTCACCAAATCTAAAAATTTATCAGCCATTATCTCTTTAGATATAGCCTCTTCCTTCCTGTTATCTCCTCCTGGAGCTCCGGATAATACATATTAGATCTCCTCTGTTGTCTTCTAGGTCCACAACTCAGCTTCTTTGCTATTTTCCATTCTTCCTTCTCCTCCTTCTCTGGGCTGCATTCTGGATTTTTTGAGAACTGCCTCTCAATTCACCAGTACGCCTTCAATTTCAACTTTGTATTTTTCATTTCTAATTCAAAAAGGCTCTTTTCCGCCCGGCCGGGTGTGGCTCAGCAGTTGAGCGTCGACCTAGTATCCAGGCGATCGGGGTTCAATTCCCGGTCAGGGCGCATGCCCAGGTTTCGGGCTCAGTCCCCAGTTGGGGGCGTGCAGGAGGCAGCCAATCAATGACTCTCTCATCATTGATGTTTCTCTCTCTCTCCCTCTCCTTTCCTCTCTCTGAAATC